TAGGTATATTCGCCACCTTGAGTTATTTATAAAAAATAATAAAGGCAGGATGAAAAAAAATCTAAAATAAAAATTAAGGCTTCTGTACTCAGGGTTCCAGTAAAGTGTGTTTGTGCATCTTTTTTTCCCTACGTGTAATTGTTTTGTCTGTGCTTATTAGTTGATATTGCTTTTATGAAATGATAAATGGCTCATTTCTAAATGATCATACAGTAATAGGCTTGCTTGTGTTAGATACTTGTAAGCAGACCTCTAGAAGAGGCCATTTTAAGATGAAGATCTAACATTAAGCAACCTCTATATTTTTGCTTGCACAGAAATTAGCTTTTGCCTCAACTACGTGATATATCAGGGAAGCCGATGTTAAACTAGAGTTATAATGTTAATTACTCAGACTCTCCTGCACTATTCTAACTATCTAAACCCAAGGATACAGCTATTCGTACATTCATGAGAGAGAGAGAAACTTTTAGCTGAACTTCCTTCTTCTTCTTCTATTACTGCCAAAAGCCACTCCCTTGCAGACTCAATGCATATAAGACTCCAAACGTACTTTCTTATACAAAAAGAAAAAGCCCAGGAGGATGAATACAGCCATGGAGCCTGCCCTATTTTTAATCTTAATTACAGGAATACTTCCTGACGTCAGCTCAGGTAATGTACCTACTGCATATCTATGTTGGTCTCTGCAAGGAGCAAAGCTTTCCAAGCTAAAGGTTAGAATGAAGTTAAAATTAGTAGCAGAGTAGAGCTGATGGAACTGCCAATGATAACCCTGACACTTTATGCGCCAAAGGCACAAAGGCTAACAGTTTTATTACTTAATGGTGCCATTAAGTAGTTTTTAAAGACTGAAGTTAAGTAGGGGAAGCTCAGAAGGTAAATTTGTAAGTCTGCTATGCTTAGGGCCCACCTGGTCATGCTGTTAAACCCTTTTCAGATGATACTAGTGTAACAGTAGCATGACTACAGAAACCCCAATGTTGTTTTTAACTGGGACAAGCAGATTTGGGGAGCTACAGGTTTTCAAAAAAGAAAAAAGGGAGCAACAGCGCTTCCATTTATGCATGCAACACAATGCCTCAGGAGTTAAATCCCCTTATTTTCAGTAGAGTTTAATGACAAGTAAAAGTGATTAAGAATGCTGTTCAAATCACCGAGTTCCAGATGCAGTTGCAGCTTTTCAAACAGAAGCAGAAATGGAAAGGAGGAGTAATGGGGTGGGGGGTGGGGATGGGGAGGAAAGATTAAATATCCCCCATTTCATTTCTTATAAAATGCGGATTCTCAAAACTACTATTACTTCTAAAAGCACTGATAAGGGTTTCAATGTGTGTGTGTGTGTAGTGCCCAACCACCTTCTCATAAAGAACAAATGTGGTAGCAAATCTACAGTATGTCTAAACTCCGCTGTTCCAGACTGTGGGTGTGGGCTGACATGAACAAAGGTTCTTTCATCCACCCCAGAAAAAAATAGTTTTTTACAAAGAAAATCTGCATGAATTTGGGTATTTTGACTAGAATTGTTCTTGCCAACATCCAGTCTTCTATATATAAAGGTTTCTTTATAAATTAATTAGTATTCAGTCAGCTGCATTCCCACCTAGACTCTAGTGTAGCAGTGTGATTGAGTGATGATTTGGGAATCACCACTTGTGCATAGGAAGGAAGGAAGGAAGGAAGGAAGGAAGGAAGGAAGGAAGGAAGGAAGGAAGGAAGGAAGGAAGGAAGGAAGGA